CCTTGCTGCATCGTGTTCGAGGTGTACATCCCATGGGGTGTAGAAAATGTCGTCCTATGGACATCGTCTGGATCCACGTGTATTTGTTCATACGCGTCTGACATATCGATCTTGGATCGGTATGTTGCTCTGGTGACTGATTCTTGGATCAGTCGCATGTCTGGCATTGGTGTGACGTCGAGGATCGTGTTTGAGTTACGATTCCTCACGTCTATTACTGTGCGCAAAGATCCATCTGCTTTGCGGATACACAGTAGCGGGCATGCTCACCCGCTATTTGCAGGATACCACCATCCTGCTTTTACATAGCGATCTATTTTGGTCGCTAGTGCTTCCTGCAGTGCTGCAGGACATCTCGGGGTGTTTTCCCGACATTTCTTGTTCGGATCCTTCAACGGGATTCGATGGTTCACTTCCCTCAAGGGAGGCATTTCTAATGGTGCTGGCGCCATTACGGTTTCGAATTTCTCTCTCCACCACTCCCTGAGTATTTCGAACTCGGGGTTGTTCATGGAGAGGCCTTCCAGATGTGGTACATCTGGAAGTTCTAGTCCTTCTGGACTAGGATTGGGCCAACTTTCAGGGTACTTTCTTGTGATTACCCTGAGGTGTTGTCAGAGACCGGATTCAAGACGAGGGAGTGTCTCCGTAGCGGAGGGCTTCGGCCTCAGCGACTTCTGCCAAGAGCGCTGTGCCTAGTGACACATCCGTGCCCTAACTTACTGACTGGCAATCAGAACCTAAGGGGGGGTAACTCTAGTTGATTTTATTACTGGAGTGTAACCTATGTACAAGCGGGATATATATATGGTTACAGCGAAGATGGGTCCGCAATTGGTGGAGCTGAACGGAGCGGAGCTAACGGGGTTAAACATTAGCCGACTGAATATTACCGACGAGTCAGGTCGCAGGGTTAGCAGAAAGGCAGGCGATAACCCAGAAACGGAAAGGAGGGATAAGCCCGAAGGTGGGCTCTGCAGGGCAGGCGATTGTATTGCCCAGCGGAGGCAGGGGTGCGCTAGCGGACGTCGGAGCTGTCCGGAAGTCTTCGGGGCTCCGTACTTAGGGAGGCATAGGTAATAAATTGAAATGAGGGGGTGGTGACCATCGAGGGATACCGAGAGGATTGCGGAATATGGGAGCTCCGAGGTTAGTGAAGGAGGAGCGGAGTTAGACTGGAGGGAATGGAGGGACCGGAAGTCGATGGCCGGGGATGGATATGACAGGTGTGTTTCAATCCCGCCTCCCTGTCAGGGGGGCTTCTTTTTTGGTTGTTCTCGAGCTCTTGCTCGAGTTTTCCATCTGTGTGATCTCGTCACATGGTCTTCACTTATTCCAAGGGTGTCTATGTTGCCCTTGTCCACCGTTCTCACTTTGTGGGACCGGAAGTCTAAGCTTGCCTGGTTTTTGTTTAACCAGGGGGCACCAAATATGGCGTCGTATCTATCAATGTTAATTACATCGAAGTAGTGTTTTTCTACGTGGCCGTTAATCTCAACGTCCACATTTGTTCCGAACAGGATCTGTGATCTTGTTCCTTTCATCCCCATTTGAAGGACGACTGGGTTCTCCAATTGGAGAATTGGGATGTGGACCGCGTGGACAAAGTCCGGCGATAAAGCGTCCATTTCGGCTCCACTATCGAATAGCGCATAGGCTTTTATGCCTGCTATTTTTGTGTGAGCCGTCAGCGTTCTCTTTGTTGAGAGCGGTCTGTTTGTGGGGTATTTTCCTGCATCTTTCGAGATGCGGAATTTCACATCAAACAAGGGGGTCTGGGTTTCGATGGACTTTTGGTCCTTCTTCCCTTTGTCCTTGTTTTCCTTGGGTACTTTGGTGTATTTCCCCAAGGTGTCTTTTCTTGGTGCTTCTACCAAGGCTTCGGTGACTTTTTCGTCTGCCATGTTTTCTAACTGGCGTGCTACAGCCAGTTTGATTTTGTAATTTATGTCGTTGTGATTGACGACTGACATTGGGCCCATCCTTATGGTCCTGACGTTGACTTCCTCACCCTCTGAGTCGGGTGAGTATTGAGGTCCTTCGTATGGGTCCTCTACTTCGAAGCTTGATGCTTCGGAGTTACCAGAGTTGTTCTCTGGTTTCTCATCTGATGAGTCTTTCGACTCTTCTTCTGTTGAGGTCGCGATCTCCATGGCAGCTATGCGCCTTGGTTTTTCATTGCTCGTTACATTGTGTCTTGGGCAATCTTTTGTTTGCCCTATTTTGCTGCATTTGCCGCAAATTGGAACTGACTTTTGGTCAGTTTTCCTCGAGTTTTTCGAGGATGTATCCTCTCTCCATCTGGGTTTCAGCTCTTCAGCCTTCTTTCCTGATGGGAGGGCTCTACCGTGGCTCGTGGTTGCCGTGGTAGTTGTTCGGGTATAGTAACCTGATTTGTAGGCTGAAGACATCTTCAGCCCATCGATTATCTCGTCTACACGAGATATTGCTTTTAACATCTCCTCGTTTGAGGAGAAGTCTGCTCTGATTCTATCATGAGCAATCATTTCCCTCTTCCATTCGAGGGGAATGTAGTTTAGGAACCTGGTGTTGAAGGATGCCTGGTCTGGCGGTGTCACCATCTGGGACGCTGCTTTGGACAGTTCTAGGTAGAACTGTTTTAGGCCTTTTTCCACTTTGTATTTCACGTTGCGGTACTTCTTTGTCACGTTCAATGCGGCAGAGGCTTTAATGAAAGTTCTCATCAATATGTTGAGAACTTCGAGGAACATGCCCTCGTCTCCTCTGAGGAGAGTTTCGTCTCGCAGTCTTATTCCGAGGTCGAACGCGGGCCCCCCTAATCCATGAATCAAGCAGTCCAGGTGGACTTTGTCGAATTGGTGTCAGGGCCTGGCCCTCGTTCCGCGACGGGCCCAGGGGGGTCCTCCTAGTCGCTGGGGTATCTAGTCCCAGTCCAAGATCTTCGAACTCACTGAGGGGGCTAGCCCCAGCCTTCACAGGAAATGAGTTGAGAAGAAGGGTAACCTTCTCAACCTCCTGTGAAGCCGCTACAAATGGGAGTCGGGAACTATACAGTTTTCAGCTCTTTGCCGACTTTCCATAATTGGCACCCCCCCGTGGGAAGATTCTGGGCGAGCTGCTCGCCCAGAAAGTTCCCATGGTTGTGGCTGTGATGGTTTCTGGGCGAGTAACTCGCCCAGAACGTTCCCACGGGTCTGCATGCATGCGGGATTGTGGAACAGTGAAGGGAAAAATAGGAGAAAATGGGGGGGGTACCTGAGGGTGTGTGGGGTCAGGGGCTGTGCCCTGACAATTGGGGACCTTTGCATCTGTCAGGGCACAAGCCCTGGGCCCCCATTACATGTAGTCCTGTTGTAGATTAGTGTCACGTGACAGGCGACAGGTTGGAACCTATCGCTTATCACCCCGTAATACCCACACCTTTGTGACACTTACGGCCTGGTGACCTGAGCGAGCCCCACAGACCTCACACTTTTTTAAGTGCATGAGGTGTGATTAAAACTAATCTACACATCCTTTTTACATCTGTTCCGGGGACGGCGCCTGACATGGCACCGTCATACCCCCAAATGGGGAAGCTCGCATCTGCAGCGAGGAAAAAGGGTGGCTTCGTTAAAAAGCTGCGATCTCCCAATTTGGGAGATAACCTAAACACTGCGTCATCAGATGATGATGAAGACCTGCCACATATTGGTAGGACCTCAGGGACAAACCCTGGGGGTCCCAAAAACTTACATGGGGTAAATGTGGGGAACAATACCCTTAGAACCCCATGTGCCAACATGATCTCTCCTAGAAAGAGAGAGTTCTCACCACTGGGTGAGGAGGCAAACATGCGCACATGTAAGCGCGCGGCTGCCACACTAACAGCCTTAAGGGCTGGGTCAGACATGCCAAAAGAAGTCCCTGAGCCCCACTATCCTCAGGGAACCTCCCACTTGGTGCAAGACACTGACAACAACAGCAGTAACTCCTGCTGGTGCAGGGGGCCATTTGTGGCCCCAAGCAATGTGGAAAAATTGTCAACATCGTCTCGAGTCACCCACATGACATCCAGCTTGCAAGATTGCAGCAAGCCAGTTCACTCCCAAGTCTATTTGACTGGGAGTTACACAAAACCATCAAACGATCACTCCCACTGGCACAGGGAGCCGTTTTTGATCCCAAAAAATGTGGAAAAATCTTTCACATGTCCAGCATCGTCTCGCATTAAACGCAAGACGTCCAGATTGCAATATAGCAGTAATCTGGTTCACTCCCTAGTCTATACGACTGGGAGTTGTCATAAACAACCAAATGACCATTCCTGCTGGCGCAGGGAGCCGTTTGGAGTTCCAAAAAATGTGGAAAAATCGTCCACATCTACGGAATCGTCTCGCGTCAGCCGCGAGACGCCCAGCTTGCGATATAGCAGCAAGCCGGTTCACTCCCCAGTCTATGCGACTGGTAGTTGTGCAAATCGATCAAACGACAACTCCTGCCAGCACAGGTAGCCATTTGTGATCGCAAAAAATGTGGAAAAAACTTCCACATTGTCTACATCGTCTCACATTAACTGTGAGACGTCCAGCCCGCAAAATCGCAGCATGCTGGTTCACTCCCCAGTCTATGTGACTGGGAATTGTGCAAAACAATTGAACAACAACTCCTGCTTGCACAGGGAGCCGTCTTTGATTGCAAAAAATGTGGAAAAAACCTCCACATCGTCGTTACCGTCTTGCAACTATAGTGAAACATCCAGCTCGCCGCCTAGGCATGAGCCGGTTCAAACCCCAGTCTATAAGACTGGGAATCATCAAAAACCCTCATGGGACGACCCCTGCTTGTGCAGGGATCCAGTCCTGAGTGGAGGAAATGTGGAAAAAACTTCCACACCACCGACACCATCTCACAACCACTGTGAGACACTCAGCGCTCTGTCTGAGAACGAGTGTACACACTCCAACATGGATATAAAGGCCATGTCATCCAGATCAACACAGACTCACAGGTTGAGCTCACTTCCAGACTGTCCTCAGATGGCCTCGGACCCAGCATGGACACAGCAAAGGGACCAGGTGCAGGAGGATGGGGAAGCTCCTCGAAGTCGATTGTCTGAGAAACTTCTGGACTTTTTCCAGGTCCCATCCGAATGGAGGACAGGAAGTGATGAAGAACTCCTTCTCAGGCTAAAGGCCTGAGAAATAATAGGAGAAAAGGTCAAGGGCAGATGCTCAGAGAGCACAGAGGCTCAGGGGAAGCCACTGCTGCCAAGGCCAAACCCAAAACTTTTGCCAAAAAAAGCGAAGTCTGTAGGAGTGCAATGTGGCAGAAGGAGCCTAGTAAGGAGAACCCACAAATGAGCGGGCAACCATCAACACCAGGCCCCATCTTAGGCGATAAATGGCCCTCCTCGGTCACTTCACCCAGGCAAAGGATAAGTGGAAGTAACCTTCTGCAAAACCCCTCCAGTAATGCTGGAGAGAACCAAACAAACCCTCGTGAAAACTTCACAAGGAAAACTTCCAGCAGAACATTGCTGGAGGATAATGGGCACCTCGAAAGATGGTACCACAAGGCCACACGGATGGCCAAACTTCTAACTTTCACCCCACACATAGACAGGGTGAAGTGGGACTGGTTAAATAATGGTCCTACTCGACTCCCTGACACGAAGTGGTCAGGCGAAAATGATACAGAAATTTTCTGGCAGTGGTACACCACACTGCTAGGATTCCTCACATCACGAGGATATAGAGGTGCACACTACGATGAAATCCATCTGGATTGTCTCATTGGTGGATTGGCAGAGCCTGCACTCTCACACAGACTAAAACTCCGTGAAGAAGCCCTCCTTAGAGATAAAGGGGGGAAATTTCTTGAAGTTCTCGATACTCTAATGAGGACATATATCAAGGAGCCCACCACATTGAAGGTGACGGAAAAATACTGCAATGTAAAGTACAATGCAGGAAAAGGACCCAGACAGTCCTACCCAGAACCATCGCTTAATGCTAGGTTTCTGGAAAACATCCTCCCTGAATGCAAGGAGGAAATAATCAAAATGGGATTCTCCTCTTTCGAGGAGATGTTCAGAACAACATCTCGCATGGACGAGATGAAAAACAGGCTGAGGATAGCTCCAGCCTACAGGCCAGAATGCTATGCCAGACCTAAAACCACCGCGACCACAAATCGCGAAAAGCCCAACCAGGCGGGAAAGGAGAAACACGCAGAGGCAAGAGCCAATGTGCAAGACCCTAAACCCAAATGGAAAGGCAAATCCTCCCTTCAGGGAACACTGACCAAAGGCTGGTACAAGTATGCAATAATTGCGGAATACCAGAGCAGGCAAAGAGCTGCCCTGAGCACCAGTTAGTAGGAGACAGAAACCCAAGGCACAGGATCGCCAGGGAAGTCGACTACAAAACAGAAGGTGAAGTTGGAGACGGCTCCAACGAAGAAGAACTGGAGAATATCTCTGGTGATTTCGAAGTGGAGGACACCTCCAATGACTTTGAACTGGAGGACCCAAACAAGGGACCTCACTACTCGCCGAGAAGAAAGGGCGAGGACATCAGCATTGGGACCACAATAATGGCCCCAAGATCCGACATCATTGAAAACAATGACGAAAAAAATACACTAAAACTGGCGATAAGCCAGACCAAAAAAAGAACTACCAACTCTTTGGTGATGACACCAAAGAGGGATTCCCCTGAGGAAAGTCACTCAGAAGACAACACCCCCGAGAAAAAAACCTCGGAGGGAGACCCACTGAAGGAGGACCCTTCGGAAGAAACCACCCCGGAGTCTCCAGAAGAAGATGAGCTCTGGGTGGAGTTTATACTCAGCTGGCTAGCGGCCACAATCCACCCTCTCCCCAGTAGAAATACTGGGCTGCATCACTGTCAGGGCACACACCCTGACTAGCCCGGACCCGGACCCACATGTGCGCTCTGCCCCGCATGCTCCGTGCGCCGCATGCTCTGGGCCTGGTTCCCACTCTTCATGTGACTTCCGGGTATCCCCAGAAGTTTTCGCCATATTGGGCCACTGTGGGAAAGTGAGAAGTTAACCTTCTTCTCACTTTCTTACCCACAGTAGTTGTGCCTTGAGACTAGGCTGTTACAGATTAGGCTGTGGGCTATAGAGAGAGGGGTCATACCCGGGGTCCGTCCCCTGACAATCGCGCACGATTGGCTGACAAGGCCAATCAGCCCTCGTACCTGAAGGAGGACCAAGAATTGGCAGATAAGATCAAGTAGAGATCCTAACTCCCACTTGTGCAGACAACCCAGTCTGCACAATCTTGCTGCCAACTATTGGCAGCCTTCCTCTCATACCGAGAGGTTTTTGAAGGTCTACCTGACCATCGACCTATAGTAATATGCTATAGTTTAACTCCTCAGACTGAGGAGACTCCATTGTGTCTGGAAGTGCTCCAGGCCCTCTTTTTTTTGCCTTGTTTTTTTTTCTTTCTTCTCTGGCTCTTTCCTTGGGAAGGCCATAAACACAGTGAATGAGAAAGTCACCGATGCTTTGGTAGAAACACCAAAGAAAGAAACAACCCAGTCCTAGCACAGAAGAACTGGAACTCCCAGATAAATACCATCTGGAAGGCAATTGCTCGAGGAACCAAACTCCTTGAACTCGCAAACAGGGATAAAGCTGAATAACTCGGCCCAACCTATGCAATACTCATTTTAAATCCATTTTAATTGTAAATTTGCTCTGTTTTGAGCAATGCAACTTTTGTACTAATTTCCAAAGTCCTAATGCCCCTACAGCATTGGTTTCTCAGACTTTGGTCCTCTATTCCATCTTCTTCATGTCGCAAGTGTGTGACATTGAATTGCGTCGCAGAGTGTGACATTTAGATGTGTCACAGTGCGTGACAGAAATTCCTGTCATGCCTTGTTACATGCTCCCGACCGAGGAACTTCGGGTAAAGCCGAGCAACTCAGCTTAAGTCACCTGACATTCAACATGGTGTCGAATCGAAAGGGCAACTGTGTGGTCTCAGGCTTAACCCCACTTATCAATGGTGGGGAAAAACTCGGATAAACATCCAAGGGATAACAATAGGGGAGAAAACATCCCTAATACAATTCCTTGATAGGGGAATTCAGTTTGCTTCCGGTGCCAGCCTGAGACCTCTGGCTGTGCCGGAGTTGAATTATGACACCCACAATAAGGAGCTCCTTGCTATACACGAGGCATTTAAGGGCTGGCGTCATTATTTAGAAGGATCCAGAGATCCAATCGACATTGTCACTGATCACAAGAACCTTGGATACTTTTCCACTACGAAGCTCCTGACGTGGCATCAAGCCCGTCGGTCTGAGTTTCTATCACAATTCAACATGATAGTCTGCTTCCACCCTGGAAAACTCGGTGCCAAACCTGATGTGTTGACTAGACATTGGGACGTCTATCCCAAAGAAGGGGATATGGACTATGCTCGCATCAATCTGCAGAACTTCAGGCCCATTTTTTCATCGGAATTTCTCGCATCCTCCCTATGAGCTACCTATCTGGCTGCTTCCATTATTGAAGCTAGTTCCATGGTCGATACAGAGACACTGCACATGGACATCATCTCCACACTCCCCTTGGATACTTTTGTATCATCACATCACTCCTCTCCCATACCTCCTGACTCTTGTTGGTCACTAGATGCTGAAGGCCTGAGGCTGGATCACCACATCTATGTTCCTGACCTGGATGATCTCCAACTTTGGATCTTGCATAACAAACACGATCATCCACTTTCAGGCCACTTTGGCCAGAATTGGATGCTAGATCTGATTCATCGAGATTACACCTGGCCCAGAACCCACACCTTCATCAAGAACTATGTCTCATCTTGTACAACGTGCACCTGTGCCAAGGTCCCTCACCACAAGCCTTTTGGCTTGTTGAAACAACTCCCCATCCCCAAACGTCCTTGGAACTCCATATCCATGGATTTCATAGAACAACTCCCTCCTCCTCTGGTTTCACTTCCATGCTGGTTGTCATGGATAGTTTATCAAAGCAATGCGACTTCGTCCCCACTTACGATACCATCACCTCACCGGAGCTGGTGAAGTTGTTCCTTCTCCACATGTTTTCCAAACACAGAGTCCCTTCCCATATCACCTCCAATAGGGGTCTGGAGTTCGTTTCACACTTCTTCTGTTTGCTTGGTAAAGCCCTCGACATCCACCTCCACTTCACCTCCAGTTATCACCCAGAAGGAGATGGACAAACAGAGCATATGAACCAGATGCTAGAACAGTACTTGCATATCTATTGCAATTATCAGCAGGATAATTGGGCTGAACTCTTGCCCCTTGCAGAGTTCGCCTACAATAATGCTCCTAGCGCAACCACTGGTGTCTCTCCTTTCTTCACCAACAAGGGCTACCATCTGAACCTCTCCACCCATCCAGAGCAAGATCTGTCTTCACTATGTGCACAGGAGTACACCATGGATCTCGACTCTCTCCATCAATTCCTCTGTGAGGAGATGCACCACGCCCAGATCCGTTATCAGGGTCCAGCAGATGCTAGGTGCATCCCAGCTCCTGATTTCGAGGTTGGTACTTCGGTCTATGTCAAGGCCAAGTACTTCCGCTCCACCAGACCTTCAAGGAAGTTGTCCGAGAAGAATCTCGGCCCCTTCGAGATCATTGCCCATGTGGGTAGTCACTCCATCATGCTCCACCTCCCTGAGTCCATGAGAGCCATTCACCTGGTCTTCCATGTGTCTCAAATCGAACCAGCCACTCCTAATGTCATCCTGAACTGCAACCAACCTCCACCTCTGCCGATTGTGATCGATGGACAGCCTGAGTTCGAGATTGGCGAAATCCTCGACTCGAAGATTGATTGCTGTAGACAGGGTTGTAACCTTGTCTACACTGTGCATTGGTTAGGTTATGAGGGGACTGACAAGGAATACTCCTCGCTCTTGGCTTCGGAACTTGATCACACTCCTGATCTCGTTGCAGCCTTCCATGCCTGCTATCTGCACAAGCCTGGGCCTGAGTATTAGGTTCAATAAACAATTTTCTTCTCTTCTCCACTACCTCTCCTCCTCCAGTGCCAACAATCCTCCTGTCCACAGTCACCTCCCTTAGCCTCTCTCATAGGGCTTATGGCCTTCAGGGGTTCAGGCCTAACAAGGGGATACTGTCATATCCATACCAACTCCACCTAACCTCAGCTCTACTCTGCCACTGTTCCGGTCCACCTCTGGTCCATCCTCCCCCTTGTCAGGGCACACACCCTGACTAGCCCAGACCCAGACCCGCATCCGGACCCGCTACACTTCCCGCACACATTCCCATGCCGCATGCTCCATGCACCACATGATCCAGCCCTGGATCCTGCCTTCATGTGACTTCCAGATATTCCCAGAAGTTTTCCTAATATGGTGGCCACTGTGGGAAGATGAGAAGTTAGCTTCCTTCTCATCTTCTTACCCACAGTAGGTTGTGCCCAGGACAGGGCTGGTTACACCATAGGGCTGTGGACCATAGGGGAGGGTCATGGGGACCCAGGAGTCGTCCCCTGACACCCCTGCACCTCTGCCATACCCTCCAGTATACCTCCAGTTCACCTCCACCTCCACCTCCGATCTCTGGTACCTTCTCTGGTACCTCTTATCCTCACCTTAAACGTTTATTAATATTTCTACCTACCCAATATTACTACAGACCTCCCAGGACCTCCACCACCCCTGCAAAGGTTTTCCCACTCTCCAATAGCTGTCGCTAGTTCCACCCTTCACCTACCCACTCCACAATGCTCGATAAGGCAATTCTCTCATGAGCTTGCTGACCCAGCAAGTGGGTAAGTCCCTCTTGGGTGTTCCCCTTTGTTCCAATTTGTCCTGTATTATGTATATAAGTCATGTACTGTAGTTGATGGCACCTCAGTGCAAATCGACAAATGACTATCCCCCCAGAGTTCGTGCCCCTCATTCTGAAGTTAAGGACCAGACTCTTAAGCGTTACTGAACATAAGCACAGCGCTCCTCTCCAAGTCGCTGAGGCCATGGTCCTCCCACCCGTTCTCTACCTCTGGCCTCCCTTCCAGGGAAAGGTCCAGGAACACTGCCCCTCCTCACCATGTCCCTGACAGCTAGCCAATGTTGGTAGTGGGCAACAGCCACAAAGGGTCCAGGTGAAATTAGCCATTGGCAGTGGCAAATCTGGGATAGAGTAATGTGTAGATGGCAGCAGCAGCAGCAGGTCAAAAGTGTGAGCCTGGAAAGGCAAGCAGCAATTGGATCTCACTCACCAGGGGAGTGTGAGATACCAAGTGATAGGGAGAGGAGACAGGGGAGCCATCAGGGCCCCTTTATAGGCATGACCTAGGTAGTATGAAACCTCTTGTAAGGTCTCACAGGGTTGCTCAGCACACCAGACCATAAGTGTTACAATGGTGTGTAATTTATGATGGTCATCAGCAAACCCAACCAGGAGGTATTAGAGCTCATAGCTATAGCTCTCAGAGCTCTCAGAGCTCACAGAGCTAAGAACTTTGAAAATTGCAGGTCCCCCTCTCTGAGAGCTCCAAAAAGTAGTCAAAGCTCTGAGAGCTCATAGAGATATATTTGCCCACAGAGGACTATTAGCTCTATGAGCACCCTGAGCCCATGTTTAATTTGCAAAATATTCAAAAAATTAAAAAGCTTGACTCCAGTATCATGTGACTGGCCACAGTCAAGTTCCTACCCTACAGTCAACCAGACAACAGTCTACTTAACTTGCAACCCCCCATGTGGCACTGCACACCAAGGGCACACAACCCAATTAATATATACACTGAATTTAGGGTTATAGATAGGGTTAATCCGAAATTACTCAGGGGAAAATGGGGGGAAAAATGGGGGGAAAAATGAGGGGGAATATAGGGGGGAAATGGGAGGGAAATGGGGGGGGGGGAAAATGGGGGGGAAAATGAGGGGAAATGGAGGGGGGGATGGGGTGACATTTGGAGGGGGGGCAATGAGGGGCAATGAGGGGGGAGAATGAGGGAGGAAATGGGGGGAAATTGAGGGGGGGAATGGGGTGAAATTTGGAGGGGGGAATGAGGGGGAAATGAGGAGAAAATTAAGGAGGAATTGGGGGGGGGGGAATGAGGGGAAAATTGAAGGGGGGATGGGGGCAGAATTGCAGAGGGAATTGGGGGGGGGGGAATTGAGGGGGGGATGAAGGGGAAAACAGGAGGAAAATGAGGGGGAACTGGGGGGTTTCTAAAAACTTGAAAAAAAGTCAGGGAAAATTAAGGAAAATTCACAAAATTCAGGGAGAAATGGGGGACTTTCAAAAAAAATTGAGAAAAGGAAAATTTCTAAAAAATCAG